CTAGAGTCTAATGCTGTTTCATGTAGAAAAAAGCAGCACAAAAGAGTGCCAAGGTGGAAGCTGCTGGTCAATCGCGCCGAGTGATTCCTGAATTCTCTGCGACTGGTATTGATGACGCTTTGGATCTCTTGTCACTGAATGATTCTTCTGTCAAGGCCAAGGATATTGAAAGACATCCTGAGCGTCGATTCAAGGCTGCCTTGATGGCATTTGAGGAACGTGAGATGCCCAACTTTAAGCGTGATAATCCTGGATTGCGTCAGAGTCAGTTGAAGGAATTGATTTACAAAGCTTTCCAAAAATCCCCCGAGAATCCATTTAATCAAGCTAACGTGTTGCAATACAATGCTACTCAAGATGATGCCAAGGCCTTGAAGGAAAATAAAAACAAGGAGATCGAAGGTCGTCTACGTATAAATTAGTTTAAAAAAGAAAATATATATCCCCCTCTCTTCTTCGTGTATTATAAGTTTTATTATTGATTGTTTGTTACATTATAAATAAAAATCATTTTCTTTTTTACAAGACACGACCAACGATCTCTTTGAACCCTTTAATCTTGTTACATTCTCGTTTGAGGTTATCTGCCTCTGACGTTTCCCACAGACCGGCTGAGATCATTAACCGTGAGTAGCGAAGACAGGCCTCTTCTCGATAATAATCATACAACTTCTTATTATATTTACGCTATGAAAAGGATGAATAAAATGGGGGAAAACCGATTCTCTCTATCATTTACCTCTTTTGCACGCGTATCTTCTGGATAATGATGAGTCTGATGAATCAAGAAATCATCTGGCAACACCCAATAATCAATACCCGCCAAATAAATCTCATACAAACATGCTGCCTTGTTCGCGCCGTACCCAATAAACCGTTCATCGCACCAGGGCGATCCTTCCTTCTTGTAGATCACATAGGGCTCATATGAATAATTGTAGTCTGTCACTTTATAGGGTTGCGATGACTCATACCATTTCGAGTAATTGGTCGATCCATGTCCTCTTGTCCAACCGAGATGGAACATATCGATCTTACCTTGCTGCACAATTGTCATCAGATCGTTCTTTTCCGTCGGAAACGTCCTCCAATCCTCTCCGTCCTGCTCCACGATGAATTCAAAAGCGGGAATCACGACTGCGCCCTTACCCTGTCTCAACTTGTCCATGACCTCTGTGTGTCGTTTGAGAGACTGTCTGAAATCGGTGCACAAGTGAAAATCGACGTCGAGCATCATGATGTATTCAGTACGTGCAAACAGTTTGGCCGCGTTACGCCACATGTTGAACTGTCGATCAAACTTGTCGACGATGAGATGAATGTCTACGAATCGGGCCATGTCCGGATTGGCTTGGTACATGCTGTGAAGGTCATTGAGGATGGTATGTTTCTCGTGGTCATCATTCACATGAATCGCTGCCGAGATCGGTCCCTTGTATCGTGTGGCCAGTCGACTGAGCACAGGGAACCGGTTGTGAGTGACCAAGGTGGCAATAGAAATATCTTCAGAGTCAAATGTATCGGTTGCTTTAAAATAATAAGGAATCACTTTGCCTGGTCCCATGGCATCAGAAAACACTTTGCTCAGCAATTGTTGTTCTGGTATCGTGTGCTCCACTACGCCTACGAAAGTCAATATGAACCCAAAAAAAAATCGTTAAAATAAACCTTGATCATTCTTCCAAGAGACTAATTGAGATGAATTGTATTTGGTGCCTAGTTGACTTATCGTCGTTGTCTGTTTTATTGTTTGTGTGCTCTTGGAATGCCAGCCAAAGGTAACAAGATAAAGGGTTGAATAGATGAAAGCGCCTATCAGATAAGCATACAGGCTCCATCGAATCGCTCCAACCAAGAGTCGTGTTCCTTTCATGGTGAAAAGAGAGAAAAGAACAGAAAAGAGGAAAATATAGCTAATTAGGGATAATTTAGAGGTAGGACGGTGTGTTACATTCAATATAAAGATTTTTTTATTTGTTACAAAATGTTGTCAATATATATATATAAATGCGCAAGTGTTGCATAAAGTGGACCTTTCTCAATTAAATATATGTAAATGGATGTGATTATTTATAATTTAGCAGAAGGAGCGATCGTGACGATATCATCATAGAGCATGGTCGTCAGGAAATCATCATAACGCTCGCCTGTGACATTAGTAGCAAAGATACGCTTGGCAGCTTCGTACTTGGATGAAGCATATTTAGGACCTAAGTTCTTCTTGATCTTGTCTGTTTCTTCATCGAGGATCTTTAAGAGATAATCGCCTGTGATGACCTTGCCGTCAGACGTACGAGCCTTATGACGAGCCCATTGCCAGAGTTGAGAACGTGAGATTTCGGCTGTAGCAGCGTCTTCCATGAGATTCATGATGGGCACACAGCCGGTGCCTCGTAACCAAGATTCCATATAAGCCAAACCGACTTGAATGTTGTCACGAATACCCTTCTCGGTGATGGCGCCCTTGAAGTTGACATTGAGTAAGTCAAGGCTGGACACTTGGACGTCTTCACGGCGGACATGGATTTGATTAGGTTGAGGCATGTGTTCATTAAAGATGTCGAGGGCAATCTTGACGAGAGCAGGGTGAGCGACCCAGGTACCGTCATGACCAGCAGTGACTTCTCTTAACTTGTCAGTACGGACCTTGGTCATGGCAGCTTCGTTTGCCTTAGCATCGTCCTTGATGGGGATTTGAGCAGCCATGCCTCCCATAGCATGGACACCACGCTTGTGACATGTCTGGATCAATAAACGGACATAGGCATCCATGAAAGGGACAGTCATAGTCACAGCAGAACGGTCGGGTAAGACGTATTCAGGGTGCTGACGAAGCTTCTTGATGAATGAAAAGATATAGTCCCATCGTCCACAGTTAAGACCAGATGAGTGTTCGCGTAATTCGTAAATGATCTCGTCCATTTCAAAGGCAGCAAGGATCGTTTCAATTAAGACGGTACCGCGAATGGTGCCTCGGGGAATGTTGATCATGTCTTGAGCTACATTAAAGATGTCATTCCATAATCTATCTCACAAAAAGTCCATCAGTTTCATTCTCTTTTTTTTTTTTCTTTTCCTACCTGGCTTCCAAATGAGATTCCATCTTGGGCAAGTAAAAGTAAGGGCCTTTACCGCGTTTGATGAGTTCTTTGGCGTTGTGGAAGAAGTAGAGAGCGAAATCAAAAATGGAGGCAGAACAAGGTTCACCATCGACAATGACATGCTTTTCAACCATGTGCCATCCTCTAGGTCTGCATATATAAAATACACAAGTTAGTCCGAAACATTCCCAAAAGGAGTAATGGTTTGTTGTTACCTAACAATGAGTGTAGCCAGCTTGCCATCCTTACGAAGCTCGTATTTCTTGCCGTTAGGATTAGCAAAGGAAATCGATTCACGAACAGCGTCGCGCAAGTTGACTTGACCACTGATCATGTTTTCCCATGTGGGTGCACTTGAGTCTATATTTAAAAAGTGAATACAAGAATATATAAATGGGTAATAAATATTACCTTCGAAGTCAGCCATGAATGTATAAGCTCCCGAGTTCAAAGCGTTGATGATCATCTTGCGGTCAACAGGACCAGTGATTTCCACACGACGGTCTTGAAGACCAGGAGCAGGTGGAGCAGCACGCCAGTTAGGATCGTTACGAATATAAGCTGTTTCAGGTAAGAAATCAGGAAGGACACCACGGTCAAGTTCTTGTTGACGAAGAGCACGTTTTTGTAAGAGTGTCTTTCGGGTAGGATTGAAAATACGATGAAGGGTAGCGACAAATTGTAATGCTTGAGGAGAAAGGATTTCGGTTTCAGCAGCAGTGACAGGTGCCAAGATGGCTACACCAGGAACAGTGGACTTTAATAAACTTGCGGATCTTGCGGCGACAGACATTTTGAATTAAAGAAAGAAAAAAAAGAGAGAAATAGAGAGAGAGAAAGGATCTAAATTTATATAAATGTGCTTACTACACATCATCATTATCTTTGTTCTCATATTTTTCTCAAGTGACTGTTATTCCACCGAGTCAAACAAAAAACCCTTTGGAAAACAAGACGTTATCACATGTCACTTTTAACACATTCACATGAATTAAAGGTGAAAAAGCGGAAGAGCATGGATAAAGGTTTTCTTAGGGAGGTAAAGTATGTGAAGTTGCATTTAAGGGTCAAACTTTCCCTTACCTTCTTTTACCTTTCAATTTAAAAAGGGAATATTCTAAAGCCGACCTTGTCCCTCCTCCCCTTCTTCGTCCTTCTTTGCCTCCTTATAAAAAAAATACATAGGGTATAATTGTCAAGTTGTAACTGCTATTGACCTCATTTCAAATCCCGATGATTTGTGATGACCAATTTTATTGAAATGTAAGATTGCATAAGGGCCATGAAAAAAAGTACATTTATTTATTTATAAAAGACGATTATGGACACGTGATGTCTTTATTACATCGCTCTTAATCTGGATAGCTCAAAGAAGAGGAATGTTTATAGAGCGTCTTTTCAGAAAGTATAAAGACACATCAAGTGTGAAATGATATCACAAGAGTGTGAATGCCGCGAGAGTTCCAGAAATAATACCGACACGATAATACATCAGATATCACACTGGATGTACCGTCACACAAGACTTGGGTATATAAACCAGGATGATTCACAGACTTTTCTCTTTTTGCTACAATTACACCAAAATCCTTTTGTCTGTATAAATATGGAAAAGGATGAACTGCTGTCTATGGATTACGTCGTTAGTGCGAAATAGTATCGTCTTGAAAACATTGGCCAAGCGTAATTACACCAATACACCAATTAGGATAAAGTGAGATCTTTTAAAAAATGAGTGCTATTGCTGCTGCAAAACAGTTAGAATACATGTTTGTGCGACTGCAAAGATGGGCGATTACCAGAGAGCGATTTTTACTGTACTTTTGTTAATTATTGACGTTAATTTTATAAAACATTGTCGCAAAATAGAAAAATTATTTACGTAAAAAGACGACAAAGAAAAATATGTTTGAATAAAACGACATCAAGTCAAAAGAGAGAAAAAGTATATTAGTATTAGAGCATATATTCTAATATTAGTTTTACTTACCACCAAGGTGCATTCTGGGGAGGGTAGCGATAACTACCCAGGATTTTATAAAAAAAAAAAAAAAAAAAGGAACGGAGGACTGAGAGAACCCAGAGCATCAGAAGAGACTATTGAGGAATGTCCTAAATATACGCCAGAGAGCAAAGAGGGCGGGACAAGCTAGTTTTGATTGGTGAATCTTTGAACACTCAGAGGGACATTTGATAACTGCTGTAAAGAAGCAAAAAAAGGACTCAATTAAAATGGGTTTTTATATGTTTTTCTTTTTCAAACAGGTTTCAGGATCAAGTACCCGGAACAAAGAAATCATATCAAATAGGAGATATCTACGTGGTGATTGTTCAAGAATATGCATTGCCAAATATGACTACATGTTCTTCTGATTTTATGGAAAAACCGAATAAAGAATTTAAACTTTTACAGAGATTAAAGAGGGCTATTTCTAATAGTAAGCTAATTTCAACTCCAACAAGGCTGATACTAGGAAAATATTCTTGGCGACGACGAATTTACATTTCGTACAGCATGAATTTTGTTCTCGCCATTGGATGCATTTATTTTCGATCACAGGCGAATTTACTTTCCGGAAAGAGTGTATAACGCATTTTAAAGACGTCAAAAGATGGGTCGACCACGTCTTTTCAATGAGCAGAAAAAGGTCATTCTAGGCTGTATTGGATTATATAAAAAAAGGATGATAACAAAAGCCATTCCACAACCAAGTAGAAAACAACGTTAAGACCTAGTGGTCAAATAGATCTGTCATGAAGACCATTTCCTAATATATTTCCTTCATTGACACGAGTTTTTTTTTTTTTTTTTTTTTTCAAAAGCTCTAGGTCCGATAGGGCTGTCGGGTGGATACACTTGGTTTATATACCACCGATGTCCTTGGTTCTGGATAGTCACTCACATAACGATGATAATAAGCTGGATTTGTCATTGAACTTATTTTTGTTTGCTTCTGTACCTCTTTTCAAATGCTAGTACAATTTGTCTTTTGTATACGTCTTTGGTTGCCAAGGGTTTTTGTTTTTAATGCTAATATTGAATGCTTTGTGTGGTTTTTTACGTTGAATAAAACAGTGAAGTATCAGCTGACAGCCTTTATTGTTGAATAGAAAGAAGGACAAGTAAATGGGATTATGGTATGAAATTTGTCTATTACATGGAATCGAGAGATTATATGATCTATAAACATACACCTGATACATAGGGCCATGAAAAGAGTCTACGTAATGTTTGTGATACGAAAAGCTTATTTTCATCATTGACTGCATGAAGCGGAGTTCACTATATAAACACTTGCTTCCTCTTCATGTGTAAAAAGAGTATTCATGTGATATGAAGACGTGCTTCATTTTGGATTTATTAAATGTCGCTTAAAGTAAGTTTATTTGAGGTTTATGAAAGTATTGTTGTATCATATAAAAAAGCCTTTTACTACAAAGCTTCTTGAGTTACTCTTTTACATTCAACTCATTCCTGTAGAACTAGCTTTTGATATATATTTTAAAGTATGAACTATTTTGGCTGTTGAAATATTAAGAAAGGCATCTTTTATGCTTTCATTAGACATCCCTTCCCTTTCTCTCTTTTTCATACCTCTTAGAGCCGGTATAGGTATAATATTCTTTTGTGGAGCATCTCCTAACTTGATGAGAGCCTTTATCTTTACCATAGGAAGCATAAAATACTTGTTTATTGTGCAAAGAGAAAGACCTTTTAAGCCCTCACTTGCCATAACGTTATCCAACAGCGAACAGCCAATATTTTGCTCAGAATAATAGATATGTTCATCAGTGCCTGTCTTCACACTGTTTACAATAACAACATCTGCGGTGAAGTCATCAGTTCGAATCAAGCTCACAAAAGCAGCGTCTTGCTTCCTATTTGGGCCTCGTAAGTTGTCCAAACCATTAAAAAGCATATACACGTACAGTGATGTTTATCTATTTAGCGTGAGTCCTTTAGTCAAAAACCTTATCAAACATTTAAAGTTTGCCTTCTTACGTATTAGACAATAATGTGCATGAGGCAAATAAGAGCTATAAAAAAAAAACCGGAAACTAATGAAAAATATACTGCTGTTTGTTACCAGGTGGCAGACGTGGCATTAAGAAATTTGCCATTAGCACACAGGCAAACGACTCTGTTGCTGTAATGTCCGAAGATGCGCTTTTGGAATGCTTGGCAGCAGCAGTTTTATCAAATTGCTTTAATATTCATCGTTACCTAGTAACATCTATTGTCTGTTCGATGCATTCATTCCTCCAATGCTATTAGCTCCTGAACCACAGCGGGGATTTATATTAGCTTCTATGTCCAAAGACACTTCTTGATCAGCACTGGTCACTGTTAGTTTATGATTTGAGATGGTCAATTACGTCGATATAATGCGAGTTAGATTCTTTATTAAAAAAGAGAAGGAATATGGCAAGTCAATATGAGCTTTACAGGGGAATTAATGTTAATATTATTTATCATCTAATGTAATAGAGAAACATATGCTCTACTCTAAGATTACAAGTATTAAAACAATTCGTAACAAACACGTCAGTCGTATCGCGTGTTTGAACAGTATAGCTGGTTATGGTACGCTACAATGTATATGGCCCTTCTATTTTCTTTTGTTCATGTTTTGGAGCTAAATGCGCTCTCAAAAGCACAATTAACGCGCGGTTGAGCATTTTGGCATACCAAAACTTGCTTTTCCATATATTATATGAGTGCCATCTTCATAATATAGGTTCCCATTGTCTCATTTCTTGAATCTTTTTTTATCACATCAGCAAGTGGTGTCTTTTGAAATGGATGATCGGATAGCGAGCGAGTAGTAGATTCTTAAAAACTGTAATTTTTGACAATTCAATGTTTGTTACACAACATTGATGATGGGATGTAAATATGGGTGTGCTTAGATAAATCAGCCAATTACCAAAAATAATGAGATCGTGGCGCAATTTTTAGCCATTAATCTGCCTATTATTTTTTCTCACTTCTTTTTTTCTTTTATTCATCTAAAACTTAAAGATGGCTGATATTACCACTCGTCAAGTTAGTGCTGCAAACACTCTTGAATATCGTCTTTACTTTGGTAAAATGAATATATTTATATAAAACAATACCCAAAATATAAACTCATCATAAAAACACATGTACAGAAAAGAACGGTGTCCCTGTCTCTCCTTTCCACGACATTCCTCTCTTTGCTAATGAAGAAAAGACCATCTTTAACATGGTTGTTGAAATTCCTCGTTGGTCCAATGCCAAGCTTGAAGTAAGTTGACAGTTAAATCGCGTGTTCCTACTATTAATCAAAAATTTTCTTAACACATAGATCAGCAAGGAAATTGCCATGAACCCCATCATTCAAGATACCAAGAAGGGTAAGCTTAGATATGTCCGTAACTGCTTCCCTCACAAGGGTTACATTTGGAACTATGGTGCTTTTCCTCAGGTAATAATAATAATTATATGATTCATTAGATAGTTTTGTAATATGCGTGTATATGTCATAGACTTGGGAAGACCCTAACCACTCTCACCCTGAAACCAAGGCTCGTGGTGATAATGACCCCATTGATGTCATTGAAATTGGTGAGCAAGTTGCTCATGTTGGTCAAATTAAGCAAGTCAAAATTTTGGGTGTCATGGCTCTCTTAGATGAAGGTGAAACTGACTGGAAAGTCATTGCCATTGATATCAATGACCCATTGGCTTCCAAGCTGAACGGTAAGTTGTTGTAGGGAAAAGAAAAAAGAAAGGGGAGAGAGTGACACGTTTTATAGATATTGAAGATGTCGAAAAGCATCTCCCTGGTCTCATTCGTGCTACTAACGAATGGTTCCGTATTTACAAGATTCCTGATGGCAAGCCTGAAAACGTCTTTGCTTTCAGTGGTGAAGCCAAAAACAAAAAGTACGCTACTGATGTTGTCTTTGAAACCCACGAAGCTTGGAAACAATTGATCAACGGCAGTGCCGACAAGAAGGATATTGATGCGTAAGTGTTTAGAAAAAGACAAACTATATTCATATTTTCTCATATTACATATATAGTACCAACACTTCTGTTGAAGGCTCTCCTTACAAGGCCGACTCTGTTGACATCCCTGCTGTAAGTATATCTAGTGATGTCACATCAAATTCAGCTCTTACAAATCGTTCTTTCATAGGCCGCCCCTCAACCTGCTGCACCTATTGATCCTTCTATTGACAAGTGGTTCTTCATCTCTGGTCACAACTTGTAAATGTGTTTTTTATGGTTTTGTTGTGTGAAAATAAAAATCAAGTTTAAATATGCTTGTTTTTATTATAAAAAGACGCGCGTGTTTATGTGTGAGTGATACTGTGTCGTATTTAAGCAGTAGCAGCAGCAGTTTGCTTCTTGGCTTGAGTACCTTATTGTGAAAGCCGAATTAGCATTGGGAGAAGTTTGTGTATATATACACTTTAAATTACCTTCACGGAAACCGTTCTTGAAACGACGATGGACCTCCTTCAAGTGGGACATGCGACCGGTACCAGTGGTCTTTCTTCTCTTGCCCTTTTCGGACCAGTTGACTAATGAGATGATTAGTTAATGATGTCTATTTCTTTTCTTTGATTGTTTACAGGATCTAATCTTGGCAGAAGGATATCCACATTGAGCACATGTCTTCTTTTGCTTGTGGAAAGCACGGTTACCACAACGTCTGCAGAGGGTGTGGGTCTTGGTGTGGCGTTTACCGAAGGAGCTGGTACCTTTAGTCTATATCATAATGTTAATCATCCATCCATCCATCCATCCAACCATCCGTTGATTACCATTGCTGATTAAAAAATTACCGCGTGTAGGAAGGGAGAGTATGTTGACTGCCGCCCCCCTCATCCTTCAAGAAAACGATTCCATACACACACATGGAGTTACCCCAGGACACATGTCCCTTCGTTCACCCCAGATGATGAAAGCTAAGCCACATAAATTTCAAATAGGGAAGCCTTACAAGTAAAAAGATATAACTGAAAAATAAAAGGAGGAAAGAGAGAGAAAGAGAGAAAGAGAGAAAGAGAATATAGGTAACTCATGCTACTGCATACAAGCTTTAGAGTAAAAGAAGACAAAAGAGAAAGAGAGCGTTATTTCCATATATATTTTTGTGTAATTCTCAATTTTTAATTTCTCTTTTTTTCGTGTTTATTTATACAACAACGCGCTCACGCAGTAAAAAAAAAATGGATAATGCAGTATATGAAACATTGTTGAGAGTAGCTAATCCTGATGGAGCGATTCGACAAGCAGCTGAAAATCAATTGAAAGAGCTTGCTGTTCAGCCTGGTACACATTGCCGTATTGATTAACTCTTGCTTATGTTGACACCTCTTATGTGTTTAGAGTTCCCTATCAGTTTAGCCAAGCTGACCGTGTCTCAGCAGTTCCCAGTACCTCAACGTCAAATATCCTTTTTATTATATTTAATGCTAACTTTTGACTCATATTGCTATTGTCCTTAACCTTATTTTACTTGGCTGCAGTTACACTCAAGAGCTATGTTACAACACATTGGTCGTCAAAGAACGACGACAAGTTTATCGGACCTGAGGCTCCTCCAGAGGTAGACACAACAATACAAAAAAGGATAACTGACACCCTTTGTATTATAGGCCAAGGCTGCTGTTCGAGAAATCATTATTACCGGCCTTCAGGATCCAGAATCAAAAATTCGAGTTGTCAGTGCCTATGTTGTATCAAAGATCGCCCATGACGATTTTCCCGAAGACTGGCCACAGTTGTTTGATATCTTGTTGAATTATTTAAAAGGAAGTAATACAGATAGCGTTCATGGCGCAATGCATGTTTTGTTGGAAATGGTCAAGAAAGATATCAGTATTCAACAGCTGCCTCAAATTGGACCTGTCTTGATTCCCGAAATGTTTCGTATTTTGACATCTGATAACGTATAGAACAAAAGCAAGAAGGGAAAATGACTTGAGTTAATTTTTTATTCTTTAGGCTTATTCATTCAGCACAAGAGGAAGAGCCGTTGATATATTTACCAGTTGTGTCGAGATGTTATCAACCTTGCGTGCAGAGAATCCTACACTAGCTGACCAATTTATCGCGCCTATTATCCCTCAATGGCTTGAAGCCTATGTCGTCATTTTAAACCATCACGTTCAAGACGATCCCAAGAGAGCAACAGAGGAATACGGACTAAAGATGAAAGTGGTCAAGTGTATCTGCAGCATCAGCGCCGAATTTCCTAAATACATCTCTGCCAACTTGCCTAAGCTGTTTGAACCCATCTGGACAGAATTATACAGCTTAAAGGAACGATATGTTGCCGAATTTATCAGTGATTCTGGAGAGATTGGTGAGACCTTTGCTGACTCGGACGGTAACGAGATTGGATTCCAGAACCTACTGTATGCCCTGTTTGACTTTGTAGCTGGTGCATGCAATAAAAAGACGGTTCGAGAACTCTTTATCAAGGACGGTACGACGACACCGTTCTTTGAACAGTTGCTTTACGTTTACATCATCTATATGCAGATCACCCAGGAACAGGTCGAGATGTGGTCCATGGATGCCAACCAATACGTTGCGGACGAAGAGGACGGTACTTACACATTCAACGCTCGTGTTGCCTCCATCGATGTACTCTTATCCTTACAAGAAGCCTTCCCGGTTCCTTTCTTCCGTGCCCTGACGGTAGCCGTGCAAAGACATATTGCAGAATCCAATGAAGTCAGAGCGGCTGGAAACGGTGATTGGTGGAAGATTCAAGAGTCTTGCTTATTGGCCGTCGGCCGTCTTTCTGAAGAACTGACCGATGCCCTGGCTGATCCTGCCAAGAATGTTCAGTTCGATCTCAAGAGTTTATTTGACCATGTCGTACTCGAAGACATGAAGGCCTCAGGTAATAATAATAATAATAATAAACAAACAAAAAGTGTTAACAGCCCTTATTTAGAATATCCTTTCTTACAGGGCCGTGCTTTTGTATTTGCCTCTGAATTTGCCAAGGTTTTACCAACCGAGATGGCAAGTCAATACGTGTCTGTGGCGGTTCATGCTCTGCAGTCGCCTACCAGCGGAATCCCTGTCAAGATTTCAGCTTTAAGAGCGTTGAACAACTATTGTAAATACTTGAACGCAGTGTACATTTCCAACTATCAAGTTCAAATTATGGAAGGCACATGCTTACTATTGTCTAATGCCACAGAAGAATCATTGATGCTTCTGCTCGATACATTGGGTTCTGCTATCAAGGTAATATAGCTGTGCATGTGCATTCGGTTTCTTATAGTATTATAGATCAATCAAGAAGTAACAGCTAAATACGATCAAATTCTGACACCTGCCATTTTGCAAGTATGGCAAAAGTATGCTTCTGACTCTATTATCACCAGCTATATTCTTGATTTGTTTGAAGAGTTGGCAAAAAACAGTTTCTATTATGCTGCTTTGTGCCAAACAGCGCTTCCATTCATTCGACAAGTCTTTACCACACCCAACACCGACCCTGTTGTCCAAGCAGTAAGTTCTTTTTTTTTTTCTTTTTTTTTTTTGGGCTCACTCTTACTGTTTTGGTAGTCTGCTATTGATTTATTGACGGCCATGACCGCATTTGGACCATCTCCTTTGCCCAGAGAGTTTACTGAACAAATGTTTCCTGAATTGATGCAATTGGTCTGGAACGTGCATGATATCGATGTACATCAAAGTGCACAAGAGTGCCTGAAGAAGTTGATTAGTAAAGACTGTGAACATTTACTGCAATGGTAAGAAATATTGATGTTACATCATATACTTATACAGTTTTCTAGGCATGACGGTTCTGGTAAATCAGCTCTGGATTATATTATGCACTTTATTGCTCGATTGCTTGAACCCACTGGCTCCGACTCGGATGCTCTCTTTGTAGGTGATCTTATTGTGACCTTGATTCAAAAGGCTGGTAACAGTATAGCTCCTGTCTTGCCTGATGTCTTGACTGCCGTACTCGGCCGTTTGATGAATACAGACTCCCAGCCATTTATTCAATCCCTTGTCATGATCTTTGCACACTTGATCATCTCTCAACAAGAGACTGTATTCAACTACCTGTGTAATATACAAATTAGCGGAAAGAGCGGATTAGAGATCTTGATGACTACTTGGTGTGATAACTATGACAGTTTCTCTGGTTACTATACATTGAAAGTCAGGTAAGCAAAGAAATAATAGGGGAGAACGTGTGCTCATGATACTACCAGTGCTGTTGCATTGTCCAAGATGTTCCTTGCCAATGATCCTAGACTTCAAAATATTCATGTCAAGGGTGAGATTGTCGTCAATCCTAATGGAGGCATTGTCACTCGCTCAAGAGCTAAAAAGAGTAAAACATAATATTAAAGAGTAAGGGGGGACGATATTAACAATGATTGTCATGGTAGACCCTGATCAATATACAGCAATTCCTGTGCCTGCCAAGATTATCAAGCTTTTGATTGCGGATACAACCAACACGTTACTGGCTGATCAACATCCTATTGAAGACGCCGAGTCTGTTGGCGATGACGATGAAGTAAGAAAAAACAAGTAACAAAGAAAAAAGTGCTGATCCTTTTTTAATTGATAGACGGCAGAATGGGAGGATGTTGAAGATGATCTGTTTGCTACTCGCAATGATATCAACTATCTGTCCGACATGTTGGCCAATATTGAAAATAATGATGACGAAGAAGATAATCCTGACCTGAAAAACGATCCTATTTATCAAACAGACATGAAAGTGTACTTGACTGATTTCTTACGGAACTGCCATGTACACAACATCAACCATTTCAACGAGATTTGTACTAGTCAGCTAAACCAAGAAGAAAAGGATACTTTAAATTACATCCTTGGTTAATAATATAATAAACAGGTTTATTAAGTCATGACTGTTGCTTCATGGATAGCTCTCTTTATACGATCTGCCATCATACGGTCCTTTCTTCCGATCAGAGATGTTGCCTTTCCTGTTTGCCCTGCTCTTGCCGTACGACCGACTCGATGAAGATAGTCGATGACGGAGGTAGGAAAGTCAAAGAGGATGACATGGTCGACAAATGTAGTGTCAATGCCTCTGGACGCAATATCTGTACTGATGAGCATCTTGTGAGAGGGATCTTGTTCAAACAGTTCGAGTGCTTCCTTTCGATCCATTAGTGCATCCTTGTAGAGAACAAGTGTCTTTTGATGCTTCGACTCTAAAAATTTATGCAGCAGTTCGGCGGATTTACGGGTGTTGCAGAATATCAGTGTCTTTTTATCCTTGATGTTTTTCTTGAGGATCTCGAGCAAGGCGAGCTGTCTGTTTCCTTGAAACCGATCGAGGTCGACAAAAGATTGCTTGAGATTGGGTAGTGATCGATGTAACGAAGGTGTGGTTATTTTGGTCATGTGAGGAAATAGTTTGTCGAGCGTCTTGTTGACTGATCGAGGTAGCGTGGCGGACACAACCATGACTTTTTCGTCGTTCTTTTCGCGGATCCTTCGGATAATCTGCTTACAGTCCTCGCCCCAGCCCTTGTCAAACATCGAGTCGGCCTCATCAATCACGAGATACTTTGTGTCAGATAGAGAGATCAGTCCGTTTCGAAGTGAGATGGCGATAGACGTCGGTGTGGAGACGATTAGGTCTACAGGACCGTCTTCGAGCGGCGTCTTATTTTTACCTTCCATGCCGACCACGCGTAACTTGACGATATGACTTAGTGATTTGGCGGTCCTGACGACCTGCTGAATCAGTTCTCGTGTCGGCACGAGCACAAGGGCACGCGGTCGGTACGGACGTCTGTCGATGTTCTTTTCATCCTGTTTGAGCAGTTCGATCGTAGGCAGTAAATAAGCTAAGGTCTTGCCAGACCCTGTTTCTGCGGCAACCAAGATATGGTGACAACGACGATCGAGTAGTTGAGGTATTGCTAAAGCTTGAATCTCGGTAGGTCGGCAATCAGGAAGGATCTGGCGAACGGCTTGAACGACAGGCTCGCTTAGCTCAAGATCCTCAAATTGTTCTGATGTAGCGATCTTTTTGATGGGAGCAATCTCTTCCAGCCGTCGTTTCACGGGAATGTAAGGGCCGCCACTTCCGCTCTTTTTGGTCGTTTTTAGCTTGTTTCTGAGTAGATCTCGACGTTCACGGCCGTTGAGTCCGTCCGGTTTGAGATGTTTGGTTAATGTTGATATATTTGGTTTACGAAGTGCTGCACGTTTTGAACATTGGGGTAGACTGGTTGAAAAGAAACGAGTACCGAACGATAAAAACAGATTCATAACAGTTGTAATGTAACCCCCCTCTCTCAATGATTTTTGTTAAATTTGGAAAGTCCAAGCCACTTAGATGTAAGAGTCAGAGGTTGCGGAAAAAGAAAAAAAAAAAGCAATGGGTGTACTTTGATGTGTGATGAGAGAGAGAGAATGAGATAGAGAAAAGAGAGCCAAAGAGAATATAACTTTTTTTTTCTTTCTCTTTTTTTTTTTTATATCTAAATAACCCATGTCTCACGACAAATATCAATCACCTTTGGTCTCTCGTTATGCATCCAAGGAGATGGCCTACAACTTCTCCGAAGACAAGCGTTACTCTACCTGGCGCAAGCTATGGCTCAACTTGGCTATTGCTGAAAAGCAACTCGGTTTGAATGATATTACGGATGAAGCTATTGAACAAATGAAGGCCAACATCTATAATATTGATTACAAGGTCGCTGCCGAAGAAGAAAAGAGACGTAGACACGATGTCATGGCTCACGTTCATGCTTTTGGTTTGGTTGCTCCTGCAGCTGCCCCCATTATCCATTTGGGTGCCACCTCTTGTTATGTCACAGGTATAATATAAAAAGAAAAAAAGAAAAAACAATGGAAAAAAGATGTCTAATAGCTATTAGACAATGGTGATTTGATTATCTTACGTGATGCTTATGATATTGTTATCAACAAGCTTGTTCATGTCATTGACAAGCTCTCCAAGTTTGCTGAACAGTATCGTGCCTTACCTACCTTAGGTTTCACTCACTTCCAACCTGCTCAATTGGTTACTGTTGGTAAGCGTGCTACCTTGTGGATCCAGGAATTATTGTGGGATCTGCGTAACTTTGAGCGTGCCCGTAATGATTTAAAGTTACGTGGTGTCAAAGGAACTACGGGTACCCAGGCCTCTTTTATGGCCCTTTTCAACGGCGATCATGACAAAGTAGAACAATTGGACCAGTTAGTTGTCGAACTCTCCGGTTTCAAGGAAGCCTACCCTGTCTGCGGTCAAACATACTCTCGCAAGATCGACATTGACATCCTCCACCCTCTTTCTGGCTTTGGTGCTACTGCTCATAAGATTGCTACTGATATCCGTTTATTGGCCAATCTAAAGGAAGTTGAAGAACCCTTTGAAAAGGACCAAATCGGATCCTCTGCCATGGCCTATAAGCGTAATCCCATGCGTTCCGAACGTATCTGTTCCCTTTCCCGTCACTTGATGATCCTTGTCAACGATGCACTTCAGACCAGTGCCGTTCAATGGTTCGAGCGTACCTTGGACGACAGTGCCAACCGTCGTATTTCTCTTCCTGAAGCATTCTTGACGACCGATATCATATTAACTACCCTTCAAAACGTCTGTGAGGGCATGGTTGTCTATCCCAAGGTCATTGAACGTCGTATTCTGCAAGAACTTCCTTTCATGGCAACCGAAAACATCATTATGGCTATGGTCAAGAAGGGCGGTGATCGTCAAGAATGCCACGAACAGATTCGTGTCTTGTCTCATCAAGCTGCTCATGTCGTCAAGATGGAAGGTGGTGAAAATGATTTGATTGAGCGTGTCAAGAAGACCGAATACTTTAAGCCTATTTGGGAAGAACTCCCTGCCTTGCTCGATCCGTCTACCTTCATCGGTCGTGCTCCCGAACAAGTCGACTCTTTCTTGCTCAAGCATGTCAAGCCTGCCTTGGCTCCTTATGCCGATGTACTCAAGGAGGAATCCAAGGCTGAATTGTCAGTTTAAGAGAAGAAAAAAAATACACTTTATTACAAAATGTTATTATTATTACTATTATTACTACTACGTGGTTTCCCCCCGTATTTCTTGATTTTCTTTTTTATGTATAAAGTATACAACACATATATATTTCATTTAGTTATAGCGACCCATGATTTCAGTTGATTTTCGTGCTGGTGCAGCATCTTCCGCAGGAAGTTCTTCACCACTCACAAATTTCGTAAAGCTTCCTTCCAAGGTTCCCCAAAGCGAGGTCAGTGTTCTCTTTTGGAAATTTGGTTTTAGCCAAGAACTAGGATCGACACTAGAACAAATGTGAGAATGTGTATTTTTTTATTATTTATTATTTTTTTCGTACCTTGATTTTCTACCAGATGCGTTTTCCAAGTAAGCCTTAAACGCAGACAATTGATCGATCAGAGGTTGATGCAGGTACGGACTACTCTTTATGTGTGAACGGACAGCTTCGTCAATTGCCTCATAGTATCGTCTTGCTTCATCCAAGTATCCAAGATCTGCCAAAGTCCAGGCACGAGCTAACTTGTAACCTTGCAAGAATGGTAAGCATCCAGAATGCTTCAAGTGATGGCTAAATTCGTATATTTCTGTTAGATCGCAATCCATATCACTACCGATCAATGTCAGTCGAACGTTCATCATGTCTATGCCCGAATGGATGGCTGTTTGTGGAGAAAGCAAGTAGCTATCTTTTAAGTGAGTA